TATTCACATCTCCTACACCGATGCACTCATCGTCTTGGCTGTCCCTGACCATTCTATCCATGTACAACAAAAACAGGAGGAGATGGAGAACAGAGCCTTGGCAAAGACCAGTGCCAATGTCTAAAGGTCCCCACTTAACGCAAATAATCCTGACGCAGCACCTAATATCAATATGTTGACAGGAAAGCTCGTAGTAACTGACCGTCGATGTTTGTACGTAATTTGACATCCTGTAACCCTGAAACGATACGACGATATTTGGCAACAGTCCAACGCCGTACGGAACTGAATGTTTTTTCAGTTGAAACCGCTGTATCAGTTTTATCGAATTATCGCTAAGTTTGTCACTAAACTCCGTATTGTCTCCACTATTTCACGTAGGGCTTATGTTTAGGCTAGGATTTAGGTTTAGGATCAGGTGGTAATAGGGTATACACGACTTACAGGTATCAATTACCATAGCTGAACAACGAGTCAGTTCTAGTCTACGCATATGTAGACGGATTAGAACTGTGGACGATAAAATGAATGAAAACACCCTATAAACATAGAAACAACAGCAAATCCGGTCACTATGACCCTTATTTTACGGTATCTATGAGTTTTCACCATTTGTACAAAAAAAATTAAGATGGCCGTAAATTTCCCTCTGAACCTGTAATAAACGTTTCCTTATCCAAATCCGAAACAGACTTTCTTTAGGAACGTAAAAAGCTGGTAAGCGTTTGGGTACTTCAATGCCTCTTTAATCGACCGCTTCAGATTTCATCTTAGGTCTTCGCGACTAAAAAATGTGCTTGCACTAGGTCCCTTATTTTTTTCACTGTTAGATGTTCATTACATATGTGACGAGGTTTGACCTGTAAAGAGTATGGCAGATAAATAACAAGAAATATAAAGATATTCCAAAACAAGAACAGGAAGCAGTATAGCCTTATGTAGTATATATGTTACAAAGCTTTAGCTTCAATATGATTTTTTTTCAACACATGAACAAAGTCTCGATTTATCACACGATATTATACAGTTATAACTGATTTTATGCAAAAGTGTCTAAGAAAATGACTTGAAAACTACCGTGCGATTCTCCAGGTCGATTTTGTTTCCAAGAACAACAAAGGGGAAGTTTTCCGGCTCGCGTGGACTCGCTTGCACCAGGAATTCGTCGCGCCATGAATCGAGCGACTTAAGTGAATTCGTATTACTGACGTCGAACACCAGCACGCAGCAGTCCGCGCCGCGGTAAAACGCCACACCCAGTGATTGGAACCTTTCCTGTCCAGCAGTGTCCCAAATCTAAAAGATTTGAAAAAAAATTAGCAATCAGCAAACAAAACACAACACAAAGTATAGGAAGTATTTAACGGTATTATATACAAAAACAAACATGCATACATATTGTACCTTAATAATTAGAGTACTCTCCCTGGTCTGTCTTCTTACGCGGGGGTACGAGAAACCCGTTTTCTAGTTCACCAGTGTCTTCATTTTAGTAATTGCAGTTTTAGAGACATTACATGCCAGAAGCTTTAAGCCTCACAGAGCGGATTTCATTGATACCAGTAGCAATGCCACTTTTCAAGCATTTTACTACTTCTCTGGCATCGACCCTTTTATTTGCTTTGCCTCTGGAAACAATACTTAATAAGACAGATTCGTGTCAAACATAAATCAATTCTTCGCTTCAAAATGTAAGATATATGAGTGAACCACTTCCACCATAACCACGGCAGCCCATTTGCAGTTAAGTTATTATTGCCTTATTAATACTTATTAATGTTACAGCCTACAAATTAAGAAAGGATAGACGACAATGAAGTTAGAAGGTGGTGAGCCAGAACTACGATTTAGGCTATGAGCGCCCATGAGCTACTATTATTGACCATTACGTCGCAGCGTTCGCTACCCTGATTCGATGGCAGGGTAACCGTTATCAATGATATCACCCATTATGAGTACCAGCTGCCTCATAAATCTTGACTTTTCCAGCGATTTCTCATCATTGTTCAAGCTAACGAAAATCCAATGCACAAATCGCACATCTACTTATTGTCATTCGCAGTTCAAAAGAACTATTAAAAGTCTGAGTCAAACATAGTCTTGTTTTTACACACTTTCCATAAATTCGGTAGCAGAGTACTGCTAACATTAATCCAATATCAGAAGTCTAATATTGAACTTACAACCCAAAGAACTTCGAGGAGGCATTTTCGAGTTATCAACAAAGGCAAGAAATTTAACGTAGCATTCCTACGAATCGATGTATCTCTCCCTCTGTGTTCGAACAAGTTTTACTTTGGACCATTAAAATGATATCATTTTTTGACCATGCGCCGCAAGTGCTAAAATACTATGGAGCCGTGGTATAAATGGAAAAGGCAATTATGAGCAAAGGTATTGTGCAACTATGCCGTGTAAATCTAAAGAGGTAACAGAATGATTTAAGTTCTAATACGAAGCAACTAAGCAGGATCTTTCGGTTATAAAGTTCATAACCGGACCGAAAGAATTTAATGATAATAAAAAAGTCTGTGTAGCCCCTGGAACCTGAAACCGTCTCCAACTATCAGCTAGACAAGAATTAATACTCGGGCCTCCTACGATTTGTCGTATTTCTAACCGATCGTTTTAATTTCATTACATGAGCTTTCCCTATAAGTTCGGCGGTACTTTAAGGTACTTGGTTTTGCTCTTGTGTCGAAACTCGAAAGAACCCCAAATGACGCTCGGCGAACTTACACGATGCGAATAATTAAAAGAGCCTTAAAAATATGTTAACTATAGAACACGCAGTGAAAATAATGGTGCCGTGCGAGACAATCTAACGACAGGCTAAATTCCATGAATCCGTGCCAGTCCTAGAACTCAATGAGACGTGTGAATTCAACCATGTTAGGTCGTAAGTATTTCGCTGTTGCCTCGGGCCATTCGCCGAGTCCAAATTTCGGATGTCCCACTTCACAATTAAATTACTGGTTTGAGTCCATGTTGCCGAAACGTTAATAAACAACAGATCATTTACGTTCTATTTCTTTCACACGCCATGCGACTGTCCCCCAACTAAGTCTGCAATGGCCTTGTTCATAGTTCTATATCCATAGCATTATTTGCTTGTTCTATTTTCGGTTATTTTTGCCATTTAAGCGTATATCTTTAGTCAATGCGAAAAATCAGGATTTTTCGGTAATACATTTCAAGCGTGAGAGTTCGGGACAGGGACTGGCGAAAAAGGATGGCATTGCGGCTATAGGCCGGTTTCGAACTTCTGAGATGGGCGTTCGAAGAACTCTAGAAAAATCTCTTATTTGCTAATTTTCCTGAACAATGCTGTTTTGGCGAGAAGCAAGTCATTAACTTAACAGCAACAGTTGAGAAAGCTTGGTATTTCTAAGTGTTCGCACAAAATTCCATGGAACTGTAACGTTTGACTCTTGAAATTCGATCTGCTCCATTCTGAAAGCTGACTCCCCCATGTGGTCATCAAATGCACAAGGTGTAAATGGAAAAGCAGCAGCAAAATTTTAACTTACACCGCACTCATATTCTCAAGTTTCTCTCGTATCGCCGAAAATTCAGTTACACGTGACGAGAAGCAAAACGAACAAACAAACAATACAGTAAACAAGATGTCAATGATGCATATCAACAAACACAAAAATAACGAAGTACATAAACATCTCTCGCAATGAGATTCCGCTAAAAAATGCCACTTATGGGATGAAGGCTATTTGATCGCTGCAATTTGTTATTCAGTCATTGACTAACTACACCTTAACACATCACACATGGGTTGATTCCACTACGACATATAATCCACAATTCGAAACTCGCTAGTTTTTATATCATTGGTATATCGGTAGGTACCAAAGCCGCGAGAAAAAATCGTGCACTTGTAAATAAATTAATGTCCTATCCTTAAAACATTAGCCGTCTACATGAAAACTGTGGGTATCTATCTCGACTACATCCGCGAGAACGTGGGCGTAGTGTTCACAGAGGCGAATGCCTCCACCTTAGTCTGGTCCACCTCAGCTCGTCGGTAGGGCAGCAGCTAGGTGGACTCGT